TTATATGGCGTGTCAAGTAGTCTCTATGACTCTTATTATAGAAGCTCGTTAAGATTTAGATTTGATGCTAAATTTACTACGTTAGTTAAGAGTATAAAGTTGTGCCTGTAAAAGAGGGCATATATCATATATTTAGTATTTTAAATAGGATAAGAACTACCATCCATATTTCTTATTTTTACAACACAACTTATTTTATCTTTTGAAACCAATTTATTTAACTTATAAATTAACATGCAATACTACTTCTAGTAGCTAATATAAGAACTCTAAAGGGTTAACTTTGGTCTAAAATATAAAATTTTAATTTATTTTATCTCTTATATTTATCGTTTTTTATAAACTATCCCTATTAATCGCATATATTAAGAGAATTTGTACCAAATGATAGTTTCATTACAAATAATTTAAGAGAATACTTTAGAAAAGTTAACATATATTTTTGACAAATAACTAATTTAATTATTTTTTTAATCTACTTAAATTATTTAAGTAGATTTTATGTCAAGTATCGGAGGTAGTATAATATCATACATGAGTATTTTAAGAAAATCATGTTTCATATAATTAAGTACTCTTCTGATTCTTAATATAAGACCCATTTAACTAATTTGATTGGATTAAGAAAGTTAAGTAAGTTAGTTAATTATAAGAAATGTGACACGTTTTTTGTAAAATACCACAATTATCTTTCTTAATACCCCTTTTCCTCTTCTACTTGATTATGGTTGAGAGAGTATCCATAGAGGTAATTTAGAGAAAATTAATAAATATAAGAAATGGGTCTTATATTTAAGACCAAAACCAATTTAACAATTAGGTCCTATATTAATTAAGAACTGGAGGATTAATTTATTTAGGATGAGGTGATTTTTCTTTCTACATTGGTATTTGACAGTCCATCCCAAAAGTTTAAATTTGGAAGTTAGAAGATCATGAATTAAACAGATACATCAATTGATAAGGAAATTAAGGGAGACTGTCTTTATTATCATCATCATCATCATCATCATCATCTTGAACAGATAAACAGACATGAAAGTACAAATAGGATTGAACTTGTGATAGTAGTTTAGTTATGGGGTAGTATTGAAGCTACCATACTTATTAAGGCTACGGACTTCTTTAAATTACATTAATGACCGTAAACCAAAACTAGGAGATAACATCATATCCCCCATGAAGGCATTGACAAAATCAGCAGTGTTGTCAACAGCATCAGATCATAATGTCACTATTTGCAATGGGTTGTGTGGAGTTATTTAAAATAATTCAAACTAAAACTTTGGATAAAGCAGAATGACAAAGTTACTCTATTCTCTCAAAAATCTTTCATTTGATCCAACTGAACTCGAACATTTGTCTTTTTCTTGGTTATTAGACAAGGAAATCATGTCGCAGACTTTCTTGCAGCGACCCGGAAAAAAGGGGATGGGATCCTATGGACGGCTCATGATAGTACTCAATTCAAGGAATGAAAGAAAGATGGTCACAAAAACAACTGATGGAATTCAAGCTCTGGAATTGGATAGCACTGTTACTGTTTTAGCTTTTTTCAGTTTAGTTTGGACTTTTGTTTTGTTTTCCTCTAATCCTCTAGTTTGTTGGACTATTTTGCTGTTTTGTTGTTTCATAGCTCTGGTTGTAACTTGTCTTTTCTAAATTCAAAAAAATGATCTTCCTGTTAAAAAATCACCTTAACTAATGCTTCAATCTCTAACAAAGATATGCATTTACTTTTTTAGTTTTATTTATAAGCTACTTCTCACGTGTTTTATATAAAAAAAAAAAATCTTAACTTTATTAACTCTTCCTTAAAAATCCAGCAACCTTATCATTTTATTCCTATTTAATTTACAATGTACTTCATAAAAATAAAATCAACACAATAATAAATAAAGATTAAAATTATATATTCATATAAAAAATTTCTATCTCTACACTATAAATAAGATTAAAAAGAACTTTTCTCTCTATTTATCCTATATATAGGACTAGAGGAATATATGGTTAGAAACAAATGATCTAGAAAATTTTCAAATTAATAATTTTAACAACTTATAAGCCACAGCTTTTGAAAGAGAGAATGCAATACTCGTGATATTCACTGTTGACAATTTTAATATTAAAATGTTTAGATATGGCGTCTAACGTGAGGATATCTTGTAATTCTATGTCTCATCATCTACTAACTCTGATCCTTCATAATTTACTCCATAATCTTTAAGCATGAAAATCCTAACCCAAACATAATTCATGGATCATGGAGATTCCATTTGCATGGCACAAATCGGATTAGTTTGCTCATTTTTGCTCTTGATTCCCTTTTTAAATAGACAAAGGGAGGTAAGCCCTCAAATTATAAGCTACCCAGTATCCATAGCTTTAAGACAATCATGCTAGATAATACTATCTCTCGTTCTTAACATAAGATTTAATACGTGGTTTACATGTGCCTCAAATTTATAACCCAATTTCAATCAATCATGGCTCCCGCCTCCACGGTTTTGTTCATGCATGAGCCTTTTCACCTCTGCTATAGTTGTTGAAATCCTCTTATCCCAGAGGCTAGCTTCAATCCAAGTAGAAACCTTTACATGTTTCATTAAACCTGCAATGAAAGATCCATCTTTATCTCTCAAGAGACCTTCACATTTAATACCATCTGTTGCAGAGAATGATCCATTCACATTGACCTTCACCTAACTTGAACCCGGTGGTGGCCGACAAGTGTTCTGATCACTTGCTACGTTCCTATTCAGTCTGAGATGTTGGATATGGCTTAAATTTTTATGTTTTCGTTGCTTATAGAGCTTTACTTTCAAAAACACAATCATTCTAACAATTCCAGCCTTCGCGTCCATTTGGCCCTTGGTTGCAAATGTTGGAACAAATCTAATCCCTCAAAGTTAGCCCAAAAAATTTACCATGATTGGCAGTGCCAACCAATTCCAACCACACTTTTTGTCTTGGCAGAATCTCACAAGACGTGAATTCTTTGTCGAGTCTGTTATTCATTTGTAAATTCACTATGTCTGCATCGTTGTATGCTTGTTACTTAGAAAGATTTGCTGCATCCTTATCTTCCCTCACCTCAGTAAAGCCACCAACACAAGAAAGTAGAAAGAATACACCACCGGATATCGTTTTATAGGCATATCAAAACTAGTTGAGAGTTCGATTTAAGACTTTAGTCTATTAGTTTGTTGAAAATGTTTTTGTTTTCACTACCCTCCTTTTCTCTTCACAACTACTGAATCAAAATTTTAATAATCCAGATTTAACATTTTATAAAAACAAATATTATCATAATTTTATATAAAAATAGGGTTAATATAATTTTTGGTCCTTTAAATTTGCTCTTATTTTGGTTTTAGTCTTTCTAGTTTCAAATTATCAGTTTTGGTCCCTCTAGGGACAAAATGATCCAAATTTTTATAGGGTTATAGGAACTAATGTTTTAAATGAAAAAAACTTGAATGATTAAAACTTATGATTTGAAATTTGAATGACCAAAACCAAAATGAAAATAAACTTAAAAGACTAAAGTTTATATTAACCCTAAAAAATAAATAAATTTAAATGGTTAAAATTTGACATCAACTGTTTACAAATGTAATGAAAAAATTGGAAAAAGATTGCTTTATAATAATAGTTTATAGTTGTGGACAATTAATTTAAGGAAAATAGGGAATAAATCTCTATTTGAAAAGCTAATTATAGAATGTGACATGATTTTATATGGCAATAAGTTTGAAGGGTAAAAAGACTAAATAATCTAAGTTGCATATCTTTGATTCCAAGTTATATATAATTGATTCTAATTACATACTCCTCCGGTCCTTAATATAAGACCCAATTCTTGAGTTGGTTTTGGTCCTAAATATAAGACCCATTTCTCATATTTATCAATTTTCTCTAAATTACCCCTATAGATACTCCCTCAACCATAATTAAGTAAAAGAGAGAGGGGGTATTAAGAAAGATGATTATAGTGTTTTAGGAAAAATGTGTCAATTTTCTTATAATTAACTAACTTACCTAACTTCCTTAATCTAATCAAATTAGTTAAATGGGTCTTATATTAAGGACCGGAGGAGTATTACATATGTCTAGATGTATATATGACCTAATTACATATCACTGATCCTAATTGCATATGCTTGATCTCGAGTAACTTATACTTGATCCTAATTACATTTTATTAAGGGTACTGCGGTAATTTTCTCTTTTTTAAAAATTCTCTAAAAGAACCTCAAAAATTTATGTCACATTTTACAATTAACTTTTTAAAATGGCATTTATTCTCAATTTTCTCATTTATTTACCTATTTTAGTGTTTTTATCCAAAATTATAATTACAATAACATTTTATTTTTATAAAGTTTTAAATCTTGACCGTCAGAATTTTCATCCAATGGTTGTGAAGGAAAAGGAGGGTAATGAATGGGAAGAAGATGGGCAGGGCTACGGATCCCCTTCTCCCTCGTTCGAACGCGGCTCCGTTTCCTTTTCCTCTGTAAAGCGTTGTCTGGTTTTCGTCTCAGCTCCATCTCCGCTGTCTCCAAGTCGTGCTCGCCGTCGTCTCCTCTGTGCATGTGAGTTGTGCGTGGATATCTTGGCCTCCAATTGTCTTCCCTTACTCCTCTCAGTTTTCATAGCCGCCGATCTGGTACAGGTTTGTTGAACTTTTTTTTTTTTTAACATTTTTTGTTGGAGTCCTGAAGTAGCCGATCTGATCAGTTTCTTGCTACGATGCGGAGGTCTGCGTGTTTGGCTGACTTGTTGAATTTTTTGGTCCACAACTCCGGTTGCAATTTGTAGTTGTGATTTGCTCATTCTCTGCTTTGTGTGGAATATTTCCTGAAATTCGTCCGGCTTGGCCCTCTGGTGACAGTTCCTTGTTTTTTTGGCGTTTTGATAAGTGGTGAGGACCTTAATGATGGGTTGGCATTTCACTATAAAATTAATTTTAGTCTAAGATTAGATAGATAAACCAGTGCTTTCGTACTTGTTATCTTTTAAATGCTAAAGATATGTTTGGAACCGTTGCTAATGTGAATGGGCTGATCAGGAACGTTCATCCTTTCTGAGTATTTAGTTTCATCCCTCAATTGAAGTGTTGATTTTTATTCATTAAAATTTTTTATTGATTATTATGTAAATATTAAGATGGTAGAGGAGGCCATTTTTGTGTCAGCTCTTCGACCTTTTTTTGTAAATTAAGTATGTAGTTAATTATGGAAAACGTAGATTTCCTGCAGATTGTTCTATGTGATTGATTATGGATTTAGCTAGGTCAAAGGTGCAGGATAGAGATATTCAGATTTCAGAGGAAGAAGCTTGAATCTTTTGCATTCAATTTATACCAACAAGTTAGAAAAAACACAGAATTCTTGAATTAAATACTTTGCATTTCATTATGGAAAAGCCAACGATTCACAAAAGAGCATATTTAGAGGAGGTTTGCCACCAGTGCATTCTTCGGTACATTTTATGGTAATCCACTTAACTGTTTGTTGAGTCTCATAACATGGATAAATTGTTTATCCAGAAGACAACTCCGAGGAAGAGTATGTGTTGCTTTTTGGCTTTATATATCCAAGCATGTAATATATCATTATTTTTCTTTCATGTCCTGAGTTATTATTTTGAGATGTTTGTTCTTGTAATATTATTGTATCTCTAGTTCTTATTGAAGTTCTGGAGATTAAATATTAATGGATGGAACCTGCCTGTTCATTTTGACAAGCCCAGCATATTTTATATATTCAGAGTGGGCTTTTTGGTGTGTATGGTGATCTGAGGCATGTCTTCAAAGTCTGAACCTGACCGTTGATATCAGTATTTGAAAATGGTTGGTTGATTCAAGTGGTGTAGGCAAATGTTCATGTCAGCAAAGGACCATTGATGTGTCTTGATGACATGGTTGCGGTGGATGGCAGATGACCCGGAGTCATGGAGGGGATCCCTAGCCCATTGACTTAATTAACTGTGGTTCACTATTGTATTGATTCGACATGCATTGATGTTGTTTGTAGCGGGAACTTTTTTAACTAGCCTGATCGATATGAAAGTATGTAATGGGAACCTTTTTAAACTTAAATTAACAAGTATGTAATGTGAATATGCTACTTGCAAATTTTCATATATGTGTTTGGTGTGAATTTGCGTGTTTCTATGTTTAGAGTTTGGAATCGTATTTATTTATCACTTAACATGCTCACACTTTAGTTTCATCACACTTATAGGAAACCCCATACAATGGCAAATTGGAATGATGACTCATGGTCAAATGAAGAGGAGGAAGATGACGAGGCTAAAGTGTTGTCCACTATAGATGATGAATTAACAGAATATGAAGCGACAAGTGTATTGGTGAGTCAATACTGTGTGTCTTGCATGTGCAAAAAGCGCCGCAGAACTGATGAGCAAACAGGTAATTTATGGGTGCAAGAAATTTTGGCAGGTCATGATGATCCATGCCATGAAATGTTGAGAGTAGAAAAAAGTATCTTTGTTTCCCTTTCACATATGTAGTAATTGATCAAAGCTTCAAGTTGATGGAAATGAATGGTTCATTCATTCCTTTTTTCCCTTGGCTGTTTCTTTTTCCTTCTACTCAACTTTCAGATAGGAACAAAAAGAAAAAATCTCCTGTCGCAAGACAAATTGCAGATGCGGCAAGTACCATAGCGACCGCATGTAAACGAAGAACAGAGGCAATAATCAAAATGAATGAGGCTTCAGTTTCTAATGTTACAGCGCACTTACTCACCCTTGAGGAAATTACATCTGATCCTGACTTCCGACATCAATGTTTGAACATGATTGGCCGATTCAAGTGGTGTAGGGAAGTGTTCATGGCACTAAAGGACAATCGAGAGCTCTTGATGACATGGTTGCGGCGGACAGCAGATGACCCAGACACATGGAGGGTACTTAAGTAACTGTGGTTCAGTATTGTATTGATTAACGTGCACTGACGTTGTTGTCCGTAACGAGAACTTTTTTAACTAGACTGATCAGTATGGAAGTATGTGTTTTACTCAACTATTATCTGTAAGCTATGAGCCTATGGCATCTAGGAACAAAATTGCCTGATTCGGACTCTTCATTATATGATGCATAAGCTAGTGTTTCTTATATCCTTCAGCTTCTCAGGGTGGTCTTTGTTCGAGCTTAGGACGAGCGAATATCATTTATTCGCTTGATATCAATGTCTCCATAGATTTCTAATAACTTCACAAATCGATTGCTCAACATGCATCAACTGGCTTTGATAAAATATCACATTAAACCCGTCCGGTCTTGGAGCTAAATGTCGCGCTTTTCAAGTTTGGATTTTTGCATTTGCAATTTCCCTGCCTATGTGCCTTCCCTGATGGTATCTCCAATTCTTAATATAAGTTTTAATTTGGTCTTACATATAAGGTTTTAATTTACACCATTTTATATATATATTGTTTTTTTTAAAGCAGTCTATTTGATGATTTTACATATTATAAAGTTATTTTAAGAATAATAACACTTATTTATTATAAATAATTAATTTAAATAATTTTTTAACATATAAATTAGTTATTTAATTTGTATATCAAGAATGTTATATTAGGGATTAAATATAGTAGATGGATAAGTAATTCTACATGTAAGTGAACCACGGGCACTCCTAACCTTTTGAGCCCAAATTAAAAGACCCTCGGAGCAAGACATCTTCGGGCTTATCACAAAGTTGGTGTTGACTCTCGTCAAACCTTAGTTGATAAACCATATGGAGTCTCTACCTTGGCAATTCCATTTAAACTTTGGATAAGCTTCCTCTTTACCATGGCCGTAATGCCAAAAACATGCTTGCTCCATGTCACACAAGCATCAGTGAATTTTTTTTTTTTTTTTTACTTTCTAATTCCAAAGAATATCTTTCACTTCAACATGTTAAATACACATTCAGAAACACTTCTATTTAGGGAATTCGTTAATTAAAAACCCACAAATTGAAATTTGCATTTTGATTCTTGAGATACCAAATTTCATATCGTTCAAAGTGAGCCAGCGTTGTACAAATCTGTTGGTAAGTCAGGAATTCATATTCAGGCTACAATTCTCTTTTGACTATACGCTTCTCAAGGGTTAAAATTTGGTCAACACCTTTTGACCAATAAGTAATGGTCTGCTATCATTCACAACCCCTTCTACAAAGAAAAGTCTTGATTCTCTTTGAAAAAGAACGCATCCAGCTGAACTTACCCAAATTGGTATTAACTGCAAGATCATGAGACTACTTGTGTTACCTTTTATTGTTTTAGCCTATATAACCATTGGCTGATACGATGTCTTGGAGAAATGAAATGGTAACTCATATGGCTTATAACTTTACTATGAATATAGAATCCTCCCTTATCTCACTATGACTAACAACACATGCTGGTATAAACAACACACTACTAGATATCATTTTGTAGGGGGAAAAAACTAGTTGGGAGTTGAATTTAACCCTAAACATATAAGAGATTTTAATCTATTAGTTTGTTAAAAATGTTTTTCTTTTCACTGCCAAGTGACAATACATACATATATGGATATCGCCAACTACACAAAACACCAAATTTAGAAGAAACAGGGGAGAAAGAGAACTACTTATAATATATTTGATATTAGTACTAAAAACATGAAACGGATACTGATTTCCTTTCAAGGCATTAAACTCCTTCACATTTTGCCCATCTTCCAGCTCAAGTATCTTTCCACAATGTCCAATCCACAAAATTCCTTTACCACGGCCATGGTTGCTGGCACATCCAACTGGAATGGTTTATCAAGTTCATCTGAGTTGCTCCATGAATGAAGCTGTTTTCTAGCCTCCTTGATAGCTGCTCTAATAGCACAATGAACTGAAGATGCTAGAAGTAATGGCGGCTCACCAGAAGCTGCGCAAACAAGATTTGAAGCGTCATTCGTATAGGAATTCCCAGGTCAACCCCTACATTTTAGCCCTCGCACATGTCCACATGTTTACAAAGCAGGCCAACACTGTTTACTTGAACAACCCAAAACCAAGAAACTTGAAGAGAAGCTCGACCCATACCTTGCTTCGTTTATTATATTCTTGAATAGAGTTTGATTACAGAGCAATTTCTTTTGGTAACCATATTACAAAGCAGTTTAAGAACTGTTCAATGTTCAAAATAAAATATAGAATAGTAATAAGGGATGACTAAGAGACTTTTTAAGTATTTTCATGGTACAACTTAAACAATTATATTCAGTTCTTTTGGTATAACCTTTGGATAGAGAAACATCGATTTATCTTAACAATTATTTTAAAAAAAGAAGAAGAAGAAGAAGAAGAACAAGGCACAAGCATGGCCAAGCATAGCCATATACACCATCGAATTTTTGGTCACTAGACATTTCATATCTCTATGGAGTTATTCTGACAACAATTGATTCAACAAATTGATGACAGAGAAATGGAACTCAGATCCTTTAAGTTGAGAATATACGACTATGAAGCTGATGAAGCAGAACATAAAGAATTGATATTATCAGCATCATACTGGAAATTTAAGTTTAACTTCATAAACTTCAGAGAATCCGTTCTCTACCTTTTTAGCATGTATGTGACCAGGAATCAAATTCTAAAGCAGAAGCTCAAGAATCAAATCCAACCATAATGTGTTATCATTCATAGAAGAGTCATTTAACAAATTCTAAATAAATAAACAAACCAAAAGGTATTAATTTATCAGCAGATTCATTTTACCCCATTTCCACCACCATGACGTAAATTACTCTACAAAAATCAAACTATTTGACGAGCCTGTTCTATGAAGAAGCAGCTATTTGCAAACAATATTTCAACTAAAAAGCCATATCCTTCAAGGAAAGAACACGATGCTTGTGATGTCCACTATTGACAATCTCAACATTGAGCTGTTTAGGTACAGTATCTAATGTAGGGATTTTGTACTTCCATGTTCCATCTGCTAACACTAATCCCTCATGATTTGTTTCATATTCTTCAAGCATGAAAAACCCTAATCCTTGGACAAATGCTCCTTCAATCTGCAACAAACAAGAGATATTATGTTAAATTGGGCAAGTTCAAAATGCTGCATGAGAAAAACTCAATCTGGCATATATTAAAGTTTATTTCTTTTTATATTAGTCCTTTAACTTCTAAATGACATGGGCCCCATGCATTTACACAAAGCCCAAAATGAACCACATCATTTCTGATTAGTGCACATTGTTTAACTTGCTATATTTGTATATCTTTAATAAGTATAATTAAGTTAATGATAAGCATACTTAGAGGACAAAAAATGTTAATTTAGTCCAGGAATAATAGTTGGACAACTGAACACCATAGTTGAGCTCAACTTGTAGAACTGAACTAATATTGGGAAGGAAACAAGACTATAGGACAAACATACTGCATGGGCTAATCCAACTTCTCTTGGACTCTTTTGTTTGAAAAGCACTTCCCTAAGTTGCCATTTTCGAAAGAAAAATAGGAAGATAAACAAAAATGCCAATTCAAACATACAATTGAAGGTTTTTTTTTATATTAAGTAATCAGTCATAATGTATGAACAAAAATATCATAACTTAAGTAAACAAAATCCATTCATCTTTGACACCCACTTAATTCGATTGAGTAGCTGTGTGCCAGGATAAACCACAGAGGCCTATAATCATCTTCTTATTCGTATAGTTCATAGAATGACCAACTTATTTTTAAAAATAATTGTCTCTTTAGAATTTCAGTTTTTATTTCAAAATATTTTTAATGATAAAATTTAATAGTTAATAGCTTTTAAAATTTTACGCGTTATTCACTCCTCATTCCATATGAGAGAGCATATGCATAAAATTTAATAGTTATGGATTTTATATCTTCCATTGTAGTGTTTTTCAGGGGCCATGAACAGATTAGGCTTGATACATTTCAAAAATTCAGGAAATTTACTCTTCTTGTAGTGATGATCATATTTTGGCAACCTACTGATCTTTACATCATCACTTTCTCCTTTTTTCCAAAAAGAGTTTAATCCTAAGTCCTCCAAATCAACATCAGAACCAAAACTTTTGCAAGCATCAGAAAGTGATCGATAGCCAGTGCATCGACAAAGATTCCCGCAAATGGCCCTTTCAGCCTCAGCAGCCGTGGCTTTTGAGAACACAGAGGGGGGATGAGGACGATTGGTTTTTTCAGTAATGGCAAGAGCTCCATAAAGAGAAACACACATTGCAGGAGTACAAAATCCGCATTGAGTAGCATGGAATCCTGCAATTCTTTCATGAATTGGATGGAAGCCATCTTTACTGTTCCCAAAGCCTTCGCTAGTAGTTATGGAACATCCATGTATGCTGCAAAGTAGCGTGAGACAGGAACTTGCTGTTAAATCCTCAACTTGATCGAGCACGTGATTGTATTTGGATATTAAAACAAGACAAGCACCACAACCACCTGTAAACGATCCAGATTGAACCAGGAAATGAGAAATTGATGAAATTTTTGGGGGAAAAATTAACACCTTTTACCTTCATAGTCATAATCAGACTACCGATAAACTAGAACAAGAAAATATGTATGTACTTTTTATATATTGTTTTGGACAACCTCTGTGAAAATACGAGGAAGAAAATCAATCATGATGTTAGCAAATAATTCTAAACAGATAAGCGTATAGCGTTCTATTCCCCGCTCCTCATGGCCCAAATCATGATGATGGTTCTGAAGTTTGTTTTACCTCTGTTTCGTAGAATGCCAAATAAAAAGATTCAAATATTACATACACGCAAAAAAAAAAAGAGCACTAATTTCAATCATAACATAGATTAAAGGCATAACCAAGAAAAGTAACACCTCTGAGCTTCATGTTCACATTGAAACGATCAATAAAAATAGAAGAAGAACCATATATTCAAGCTATCGATAAAAATAGAATAATATATACACCATGTTTTGTAAATTGTTTTAAAAACCTCTATGATGGTATGAAGGAGAAAATTAGTCATTAAGTCAACGAATAATTGAAACAGCAAAGGATAGTATGCTCTGTTCCAAGCTCCTAAAGCCCAAAATTATTACGTTAATGGCACTGGAATTTCAATATCCAATTTTTCTTTTGTCTCTGTTTCTTAAAATGTCCAAAGAAGCGCCAACATCCAAATATTTCATATACCGGGAAAAAAAAAAAACAGAGAAATAAAAACCTCTTTAAGAATTTCAATCGCATGATCAAATTAACATATATATTACAAAACTAAAAGAGATCACTCCGCCTTTTCATATCAATCAACCATGGTTTATGCTGTTTCTAGGAACAAGCCTAAGGCAGGGGGAAGGTCAAGAAATAGTAATGATGGAAGGAACAGCTACAGAGCCTTAGAAACACTTCAAACAAACTACTTTAACCAAAAATGATCTCAGATTGACCTTTTCTCTAAATCACTGGGCACCTGCAATTTCAAATACTTTAATGCAGAGATTAGCATGGATAAGAATTTATTAAGAAACAGAGTAAGTTGCCAGAGGATCAACACTAGCTCATGAAGTTAGGAGGATTCAAAGCTACACTCATAAAAGTATTTTGAGTGTCCTTTTGGAGAATAACCAGTTTCAGAATGATGAACCCCCTACAAAGATCTAGACCACTACAGCTAGTGAGCATGAACATGGTGATCATGAAACAGAGCCTCAGAGACAGACCTTCGCCACAGCCGAGCTTGACGCTCTTGAACGGAGTCTGAGTACGCAAGAACTCAAGCACGTTGGTTGATGGTTCAACACTTGGGAGCTCAAAACTCTCTCCATTCACAGCAAAAACCAGGGTTACTGTTGTTTCTCCGTTCTCCTTCATTTCCCAGATAAACCCAAAAAGCCCAAAAATGAAGGGCCTTCGGGGAAGACCGTACTGTCCTCACGGACTCTGCTCACTGAAACGATAAAGCTCTCAGCTTTTAGCCATCCTTTAGCAATTTTCTACGCCTTTTTATGGAGTGTATGTGCCTCTCTCTCCATGTCCACACACTCGTACACTCACAGAATTTTAACCGTCTTCTCGTGTTCGTGAACCGTGATTCACACTTCGCATTGTGCACATGAAGTGACGATATTTAGGATTGGGTGGATAGGGACTGGTAGAAGGCTTTTTTACTCGGATACGATACGATTAACAATAAAAAAATTTATTCAGATAGGATAACAACAAAACTATTTATCAAAATACTATATCTGAAATCGTTCAGACCGTGATCTACTTTAAATTTGTATAGACCTTGTTCTTTATCCAAACAACTTCAATGTGGCCTACATCACAAAATCAAAGTTCTTCTTGATCTGAACAATTTCAGTGAGATCCACATCACAAAATGAAAATTGTTCTTAGTCTGAACAACTTCATGTGACCCACAATCCATATTTGTCTACACTCCATGTGAAATTCCTTCCTCCCATACTTTTCAACTTTCCTATTTGACAAGACCATACTCTTGCTTTTTTCAGCCACGCATGCAAAGTCACTCAGGGAGTAGTCATTCATTGTCTTTAGCTCAACTCACGCGCAAGAATTCCTTCCCCAAATATTCCCATACGCAAAGTCACTCAGGCAGTAGTCATTCACTATTTTCAACTCAGTTCATGCGTAAATGTTTTGTTTTGGCATGTGAATGCATGGTGTAAATTCTGTCTATATAATGATATTCGGCATTCCCATTCCAATCTGCCTTCTCATCACTTCTCAAATTCTTCTTGAACTTCGCCGACTCCTTCTATTCTTCTTTCTCCTTTCACACTTTTGTTGAAGTAGGTGGTGTGTGCGGTCTTGCAAATATTGTATACGTGTTATCTCAACTTGAAATTTTATTTTTCTTCTAACTAAGGTATATTCTCTTGATTTTTTTTTTAATTTTGGTATGTATTTTGCTAAATGATGGATAAAAATTTTATATTTAGTCATTTTTACATGTTGACTTTGTTTTAATTAAAAAATGTAGACATATAATTAATTGTCATATAAAATAAATTGTAGTTTACTTTTTTATAATCTGATTAAATATATAACTATTTTTTTAGTAGATAGTATTTGAGTAAATATGTAGTCAGAATAAATATGTATCGAGTTAGATAATAATTGGTTGTGAGCTTAGTCTGGTTTTGTATCTGGTCAATGAAAACTAGTACTAAATAGTGTCAAAATTTTGGTGATAAAAAGAGTACTGGTAGAAAACCAACCCTAGCCATTGCCAAGCACTCCATTTCCAATTTTGGTCTCGGAGGTAGTAAAGTTTTAAAAAAAATTGAGGATAATTATTATCAATAACTTTAAAACAAAAAATATTATTAATATTCAGAAAATATTTTATTTTTGAAATTTTGAAGTAATTCTTGTTTGATATAATTTCCGCGTATGTTATTTTTCCTTTACTGTTATGTAAATAAATAAAAAGATAAAATGTCAATAATTTGATGTGTGGGGGCTAATCCTACATATGAAGGGGGAAAAAAAAGACAGCAGAAAAAATTTTAATGAGCTGAATTTAAAAAACTAAAAAAAAAAACTAGAAAAGTGATGCTGAAAATTCTTATTATTCTTTTATCTTACAACTTCTTTCTACTAAAATTTTAAAATTAAAAATTTTTAATTAATTTTTATTATTGTTGTCTATTTTTCTATTAAAATTTTAAAAACTTATTTTTTAATTTTTTAAAACAAATTTATTAAAATTTTCTTATCCATTTTGCTCGTACCAAACAGACAGTAAGACAAACAAATAAAAGGAACACAGACATATGGCACAAATAATACTTCTTTAATTTTAAATATAAGATTTATTTTGTAGTATAAATTATATCGTAAAATAAATCTGGTATCTAAAACTGAAAAGTGGTAATCATTTACAACATGATAGATAAATGAGCAGTAGTAATCATTGAAAACATGAGAATCTACCACGGATTCCAACTTTACTATGAAACAAAAGGAGCTTTGTCCAAATTAGAATACGCCATGCGGGGTGTGTCCGCGAGGGACTATGCGTCCATGTCTTATACAATAAATAAAATGAACATTTAAAATACTACATCCAGTCTTAATTATAAGTTTTTATTTATATACTCTTCCGGTCTTTAATATAAAATCATTTAACTAATTTGATTAGATTAAAGAAGTTAGGTAAGTTAGTTAATCATAAAAAAAGTGTCACATTTTTTCTAAAACACTATAATCATCTTTCTTGATACCTCTTCTTTCTGTTTTACTTGATTATGGTTGAAAGTATCTATAGGGATAATTTAGAGAAAATTGATAAATATGAGAAATGGGTCTTATATTTAGGACTAAAACCAACTCAATAATTGAGTCCTATATTAAGGATCGAAGAAATACTATAAATGAGGTCTTATAATTAAAATCGGAGATAGTATATAAATTGACATGGATAGCGATATCAACATTACTTTCCAAAGAATATGTCAAAATTATTGAGGGGGCGAGGGGCTATATTGTCAAACTGCTAGATTTAAATAAACTTTTAAGAAGCATAGAAATTATGTAACTCATATTGTAAATTTGTAATTATTGTTTTCAAATTTGGATTAGACTGGCAACTCTGTAAACCAGTCATTTGGCTGGTTAGATTAATCATCTAAACTAGAAAATAAGTGACTCAAGGTAACATAATTAGATTTTATATATCTTTTCTGCTTGAGTATGACACAACATCATTTTGAGTAAAAAAAAAAAAAGAATAGTTTATTATATTTATGTTTTAACGGCTAATAATTGAAAATAATATACTACCCCTGCTCCTAAATACAGTATCTAGTTTTTACTACAATTTATATTATAAACTAGATCTTATATTTAGGTCTAAAGATAGTATATCATATGAAAATAATATATCCTCCAATTTTTTTATTATGTGGCACATATTCATATTTTTAAATTTATATTTATACTATTAATCTGTTTTTTAACATGTGTTGGCAAAAAAACAGTTTTTCAGCATGACATTGACATCATACAAATTTTAAGACAGGACATAAAATGTGGATCCAGATAAGTTCATCATGCCAGCATTAAAATAAAGCAGACACAAGTCAAACGATTTTAAAATCAATAAAATAAATATGTCGTGATAATTTGATTTAACTTTTATTTTGGTCCTTCCTGTAATTTTGTAAAGACAAAGTATGAGCATAAGTACAGGGACCAAACTCGTTAAAATTATAACGATCAATTGT